CAGGACAACTCAGTTCAGACCAGCTCCAATTCAAGTGCTCAGGAACCACATGTAAGCTGTGACTGCCTTACTGGACAGTGCAGGTCTTGAGGGCATCTCTGGAGCTCATGGCACAACAGAGCACTGTCACTGCCACCATCCAAAGTCCAAACCAGGGGGCCAGGCCCTCAGCGCTGCCTCCAAAACATAACTGAAACAAAACTACCGTAAATGTGGGTTGTATCTGGGCCTGAAAGACCTAGTGGATAGCACTTGCTGAAGCCTTCATGGGGCAGTCTCATCCCAGGAATGACTGCTTGGGGAAAGACTGAGCCAGGGCCCCTATATAAACCGGCTTACCTGTTCCATCAGGACCCTTGGTTGGTTTTTCTAGGTAAATGAATGTCCACAGGAGGGCACCTACAACATCTTTGATGCTGTTGTTGTTGAATTTAAAATGAAGTTCAAGGCTAGTCTTATGATGGATCAATCGACTTTTTGGTGCGTAATAAGCAATGGAACACACATTTCCTTCTTAGCTTTGGCTGCCAGGAAACTCAGAGCCAAGTCGCCTTTCAGTTAAAAGCTATAGCCTCAGCTATACCTCCACTATGATATAGTGGTTGTCCTTTACTCTTATTTTAATACTTTGAAGATTTGACAGGGTTTCTGTCTTCTGAAACTTTAAGCAATAGTAAATCATTTTTAGAAATGGACAGGTATGTATAGGGAAGTTTTCAGATTTTTACCACTAGATGGCAGCATTATACAATAGACCACCGACTTCAGTCGTCTGTGCGCCCTCCCCACTAGCACTCCGGCCTATTCCACTGTTTTAACAGCTCCGTGACTTTGGGCTATTGACCTTTAACACTCTGAACCTCTGTTTTGTCATGTGAAAAATGAAACACTATGTGAAAATGAACTGAGATGAAATATAACTGGAGATGTAGTAGTAACCTTTTGATTAAGTGCATGGATTCTGAGGCAGATGACGTGGTTTCCAATTCTGTTTTGCCAATTCATAGCCATAAGAGCAGGCAAGGTATCTAACGTTAAGCCTTAGCTTCTACTCTGTAAAATGATGAGGCTAGTGCCTGCTTTTTAGGAATGTTGCAAGAATTTGAGGGCAATGTACAAAGCGCTTAGAACAATGCCTGGCCACACAGAACATCAAGGGTTAGTCGCTACCATCATTATTACCATCAACACATAAAGCACCCACCACAGAGCATGGCACACATGCTTTTAAACTCCAGTGTGACACTTGTGTGCTTAATGGTCTATGAGATGTTGGAAATGAGGCCTCCGCGTGGGCTTTTCTTTGTGCCAAGGTGGGAGAATTGACTCCTGGCCCTGCTGCTCTCTGGGGTCAGAGTCTGGGTGGGGAGGGAGGGATGTGGTAGGTGTGCTGGGAAGAAAGATGCCTCTGAGCAGCTTGTGCCGTGGGGAAGGCTTGCAGGAAATGGGCTGGAGAGGTGAACAGATCTCTTTACAAATGTCATTGTGCAGACAGTGTATTTGGATCCCATCACCATTTTTGACAAAGCAAGTAAAGGATTTACACTATTGTGAACTTTTGGCTGCTGGATTGTGTTTTAGTTTTTCCACTGAGCCCTTCGTCAGCACTAAACAAGAGTGGTCCTTCATTTATAATGGTTGCGTGTATAAAGCACTCAACGAACATTAACTATTATTGTTGAGTGTGATAGAACCCTCAATAAACATTACATACCATGTGACCAGGCTCCTGCATTCCACACCCAACTGGGGGTGGGAATTCCCCTTTATAAAACCATCAGATCTTGTGAGACTTATTCACTACCATGAAAACAGCACAGAAAAAAAAACCCTCCCCCATGATTCAATTACTTCCCACTGGGTCCCTCCCACAACACATGGGAATTATGGGAGCTACAATTCAAGATAAGATTTGGATGGGGACACAGCCAAACCACATCATAACCACAGCGAGTCTCAGGATACAGGATCAATACATAAAAATCAATTGCACTTTTATGAATAAACAAGACATTAAGGATACAATTCCTTACACAATAGCATCAAAAAATTAAAATACTTAGGAATAAATTTGGCAAAAGGAGTATAAGATTTATACAGTGAAAATTATAAAACATTGCTGAGGGAAACCAAAAACATCTAAATAATTGAAAAGACACTTCACATTCATGGATTGGAAAATTCAACGTTGCCAAGATGAGTATTCTCTCCCAACTGAATAGATCCCATACAATTCCTATCAAAATTCCAGCATACATTTGTGCAGAACTTGACAAAATGATCCTAAAATTTATATTGAATTATTAAGGCCATGAATAGCTAAATAAATGTTGCAAAAGAAGAGCAAATTTGGAGGCCTTTAACTTCCTAACTTCAAAACTTACTGTAAAGCTAAAATACAATTATGAAGACAGTGTGGTCTGGCATGAGAAAAGATGCATGGATCCAGAGAACAGAACTGACCATCCAGAAAATAAATTCTTTTATTTACAGCCAATTTACTTTCAACAAAAGTGCTAAGAGGGCTCCTTGGGTAAAGGATAGCCCTTTTAACCAATGGTGGTGAGACAATTTGGTATCCACATGCAAGAAGATGAGCTTTAACCCTCATCGCATGCCATACACAAAAATTAACTCAAAATGGATCACAGACTTACACATAAGAGCTTAAACAATACAACTTTTAGAAGATGGCAGGAGAAAACCCTCAAGGCCTTGGGCAAGGCAAAAATTTCTTAGATATAACACCAAAGGCAAAATTCAACACCATTTCACATGCGGCACAATGGCTATAATAAAAAGGACAGTAACAAATGTTGTCAAGAATGTGGAAAAATGGGAACACTTATACATTGCTACTAGGGACATAAAATGGTGAAGCCACCTTGAAAAACAGTTTGGCAGTTTCTTAACAAGTTAAACATAAATTTTTCATATAATCCAGCAAGTTGCACTTTTAGGTATCTACCCAAGAGAAATGAAAATAGATTGAAATGCCCTCATTTTCTGGGGTGCCACCTGAAGTTCTTTGTCTCACAGCTGAGAAAATCAAGGACACGTACACACCGAGGGTGAGGTTAGAGCAGAAGTTTAATAAGTCGAAGAAAGTGGAAAAGTTCTCTGCCGCAGAGAAGAGTCCTGAAAAACTGTTGCTGCTTATCACCGTTTGATACAGAGGCTTTTAAAAGAAACCAGTGAGGGTTGAATGTCTCATTTGCATAAATGCATGAATTTCTGGTAGCCCCACCCCATCCTCCTAGTGCGCCTGTAAGTCCTTAGCTTGAGTTACTCCACATTGCTTTGTTCCCCTTACTGTGCACATGTCAGGGGATAGAATTTTCCACTGGAGGCATGTCTAGGCAAGTCTCCTGTGTAGACTTTCTTATCTGCAAGACTGTGGGCATGTCTCAGGCAAGCCCCACTGTGCAAGGTCCCTTATATCTGTGCCTGCAGGCAGTTCTTTTGTTTGAAAGAACTCAACCCAGGACCCTTCTAAACTGCCTGCCTGACAGGTTTCTTCCTTCCTCCTCTCTCAATATGTCCAAAGACTTATACATAAATGTTGCTAGCAGTAGTATTCAAAATTGCCAAAATTTAGAAACAATGTAAATGTCTATAAACTGTTGAATGAATAGACAATATAAGGTAAGCCCATATAATGGGATATTATTCAACAATAAAAATAAATTATGAGATTCATACTATGATTTTGGTGAACTTCAAAATCTAATATTCTAAATGGCAAAGGTTGCACACTTGGTAAACTTACTAAAAAAAAAATTTTTTTTTTTTGAGACTGGGCCCTAACACTTCACCCAGGCTGGAGTGCAGTGGTGTGGTCATGGCTCACTGCAGTCTTGACCTCCTGGGCTCAAGTGATCCTCCCACCTCAGGCTCTCTAATAGCTGAGACCACAGGTGTGTGCAACCATGCTCAGCTAGTTTTTCTATTATAAGAAATATTTTGGCTGGTCCGAGTGCAGTGGTGTTTACAACTAATTGATCACAACCAGTTACAGATCTCTTTGTTCCTTCTCCACTCCCACTGCTTCACTTGACTAGCCTTAAAAAATAAATAAATAAATAGAGGGGTTTGGCCTAGGTAACTGGGCAGAGATGTGGTTCGAGATACTCCCTGGACTCGCCGCCATGGGCGTGTGCTTGCTTATTCCAGGAGTGTCTACTGCGTACATCCACAGGTTCACTAACGGCGGCAAGGAGAAAAGGGTTGCTCATGTTTTGTATCCATGGAATTTGATGGAAAGAGATAGGCACATCTCTGGAGTTGATCTTTACTATAAGCCAAAGGGTTTGGAGAACATTGATTAAAGAAGCATTTTCCTGATTGATGAAAAAAATAACTCAGTTATGGTCATCCACCCCTGCTAGAAGATTATACAGTATATTATGTAGCATGCAGTGTGTTATGTAGTGCTTAATAAAAATAAAATGAAAATAAATAAATAAATATTTTAACTGTATACTTGGAATAGATAAATTATATATGTAAAATGTGCTTCAATAAAGTAATGGCTCTTTAAAAAAAAAAAAGTAAAATGAGACCACACAGCTTTTGAAAACTAACCTACTTTTTTAAAAACATGGTTTGCCTAGGCATGGAAAGTCACACCTGTAATCTCAGTACTTTGGGAGGCCAAAGCAGGCGGGTTACCTGTGGTCAGGAGTACGAGACCAGCCTGGCCAACATGATAAAACCCTGTCCCTACTAAAAATACAAAAAAAAATTTAGCAAGGTGTGGTGGCGGGCACCTGTGATCCCAACTACTCAGAAGGCTGAGGCAGGAGAATTGCTTGAATCTGGGAGGCAGAGGTTGCGGGGAGCCAAGATTGCACCACTGCACTCAAGCCTGGGTGACAGAGTGAGACTCTGTCTCAAACAAATAAAATAAAATAAAAACTTTAAAAATGGTTGATCTTCTCACCAGTGAGTATTGAGTGGGCATGGGGTTGGGGTGGCTTACAGGGCCTGCTTACGCGAAGATGCGTCTTCAAAAGTAATTTATAATGTGTAATGCAAAGGACTGAGGGAAACTGAGCAAAATTCTTTTGACTGTTGGGAATACTCAGAAGAGGGAGTGAGAGAGCACCGACAACGTGGAATAAAAGAAGCTAAGAAGAGTGTTCCCATCTTGCCTGCCCTCAGGCAGAAAGAGGATAAAGAGCGAAGCCCAAATCCCTGTGCACGGAGCCCAACCTGGCCAGCATAAGTCTCTGCTCTCCCCTCCGGCCTGGCAGACAACCAGACAGTGAATGTACACGGTGCATAAGCACTTGCCTTTGATGTTCTGAGCTGGCCACGGGGCAAAAGATGTGGGGGCCTGGGGAGGGCAGTATTCAGAAGGAAAGAAAAAAAAAATCCAATTTTCTCAGGCAGAGAAAAATAATCGCTGGTTACATAACGTTGTTTGCAGCTAGAAGTTATTAGAAAAGTGGTGGTAAAGTGTGGTTACAGAAAATTAAATATTGATAAAAAGAGAAAAATAGTTGTTGTGGGAAAAATTTTACTTCTCTGTACAAAAGAAGTCCATACTTGCTTGGATTTTAACACGGTTCCTTGCTTTAGGATTCCTTTTCCTGTGCCATTTCTTGCGTGCAGTCTTGTGTGTCTGTTCCTTAAGGAAGGAAGCTCTGACCAGGCATGTGCTGCTGAGAGCTGGGCAACTGGACCCTAATAGGGCTTTCCCACTCACCCCAAACCAGAGTAGCATTGGCTTAGCGTTAAGGAAACCATAAATCAATGTTATAATTAAAGATTGGGGTCTCCTTCCGTGGCTCAAAGCCAGTGAGCAGAATTAGATGGCCAATTCTTTCTCTCACTCTTTTTCTTTTCTTTCTTTTTTCTTTGAGATGGAGTCACACTCCGTCGCCCAAGCTGGAGTGCTTTGGTATGATCTCGGCTCACTGCAACCTCTGCCTCCCAGGTTCAAGAGATTCTCCGCCTCAGCCTCCTGAGTAGCTCTGATTACAGGCGTGCACCACCATCCCCAGCTAATTTTTGTATTTTTAGTAGAGAGGGGGTTTCACCATCTTGGTCAGGCTGGTCTGGAACTCCTGACCTTGTGATCCGTCAGCCTCAGCTTCCCAAAGTGCTGGGATTACAGGCGTGAGCTACCGCATGTGGCCATAGATGGTCTGTTCTTTAGCTCATCCCAGCCTCAGAGGCAGGAGTCAGCAGAGCAGTGGCTGAACAAACCACAGGAATCCTCAAGCCTGTAACCCAGTGCGTGGGGCAAAGCCCTGGGATCTATCCATTCTGGTTTTCAGCGCTATAGATCCATGCTATAAAAATCTGTCCAATGCAATCTGCATTCCGTCACACCTTGCACTAAGGTCTAGTTGGTATACTAAGAGTTGACATCCCACAGCAAACAGCCCTCACGCAGCAGGATGCTGGAAAGGGCTCGTCTATAAAGATTTCTTTTGAGCCACGGGACGGCGGTGTGAGCGGGGCAAGCGCGGAAGACCAGGGACGCGCATCGTACGGAGCAGTTAGAGCCGCCTGGCCTGGGGCGGACCCGTCAGGGGCTCCCCAGTTGGTAGTCCCTGTGGGGCTGTGTTTTCCTTGTCCCGGGGAGTCCGCGCCTCCCATGCCTGACCTTGAAAAGAGCAAAGCTTGCAGAGGCTGCAGGGAGAAGACAAAAATAGGTTGCATCTCGGGGAATTTTGGATGCTCAATCTGTGCCAGAAAAGAGAAAGAAAAGGAAAAAATGGAAAAACAGATTGCTACATCTGGGCCCCCACCAGAAGGTGGACTTAGGTGGACAGTTTCATAAAGCAGAACGTGAAGAGAAGGGTCTACTGCCAATAACTGTTTATCTGTGATCAAGTGGACTTCCTCAATTTAATTTCTTCTCTTTGAATAAAGATTCAGACTTTGTAATATTATTGCACTTAAGTGCGATGCTAAAAAAACCTTTAATTTTCAAGCTTAGAAAATGGCTAGACTTTTCATTAAATACTAATTGTCCTACATTTGCTCTTCTGCAGTTAGTAGGTGATTTGCTATTTTTCTTAGCAGTTAAAAAATGGAACTAAATAGTAAATATACATACATTGCATGTAAAAATGTTCCATACACCTGTAAGATTAAAATTCGTAATTGTATTTTCATCCTTTATAAAATGATCTAACTACTTATATTTATGCTGCTTCGCCTTACATCTGTTTTTATTTCACTATATATGAAGATGTTTGATTAAACTTATGGACTTAGTGCCTTTAAACTGATCATCGGGGAAAATCTTGAAAAAATCATTTGAAGGGCTGATGTGAAGGAGCACTGTAAATTTTTATAACTTACTAAGCAATGAATATTTTTAGGCAGATGTTAGGTTTCTTCTAATTTAAGTTTATGTAGCTTATAAAATAACATACTATGTTTTACATTTATGATAAAGGGTTTTTTTTTCATTGTTGGCTGAATGTAAAAATATATATTAGTGATACCATCGGGGGCAGTGATGTTCTATTATATATTAGATTCAGCTCTGTAAAGATCTTTGTAGTAACTGAATGAGTTAAACTAATAAGCTGGATGGATTATGAGTGGTAATACATTTGTCCGTATTTCATAAGTAGTGTTAATCTTGTCTACTTAAAAAGAGAATGATATAAGATTTATACAGATATTAATTGTCAAGGCAAGTATGAATGTATGAAAAAGAAACAGTAGATACTGTACTTAAAAAAGGTTTACTTCAGATGTAAAAATATTGAAGTAATTCTATACAATGCATGTTCATAAACCTTTGCATTTTTGTTTATTAGAAACATGAATTTTATAGCATTTTTGGTTTCTCCTTATATAATACACTGAAATAAAATAATTGCTATTAGCTATTAAGGTTGATAACTCTTTTAAATGGCAAGGCCACATGTTGAGCCCTAAATTAGAATTTGCAGATATTAAGTGCCAATAGAAGTTATAAGTTAAATTGACCAAATTTACTTGCTCTACACAAAGGAAATTGAGCCACTTTCTTCACCTATCCCTGCCACAAGACTTAAGTTATATTGTGGTGTATTGTACATGTTAGTTTTAAAAAGTCTGAACTATTATATAATACAGACTTCTTGACTTCTCACTGAAAAATTATTTTTTTATTATGGTATGAAATATTCTGTGAATATCTAGGCAAAACATACTGTTAGTCTCCGTTTCTTTATCCTTTAGAGGATTAGTGCTGTTTTTGTTCATAAAGGATAGTGAAATCATCGAACTATATTTTAGAATGAAAATTTTTGATTTTATTAAAATGATTTTTTTCAAAGGAAAAGGAATGATTAATAGCTGAGTGCCTATGGAGCTAGAGCATAGCATCCTTGAACTGTGCAGATCCTTTCTCCCAATAGCAAGAACAATTTTGTCTTTAATACATCTTAAAGAATTGGGACTTGGCGTTCGTGTAAATGGCTTACTTCCACGGAATTATGTCCTATTTCTACAAGCAGTTTATACCCAAATGCCACGCTTATCTATTGTTAACCGTTAATTATATTCAGATATATTTCTTTTTGGGAAAAGTGGGACATATTCCTTCCAACCATGGCCTGTCACCATGAGTGTAATCAGCTTTCTCCAAAACCACATGGGCTGTAGGGGCTAAGGACTGGGACCCGTATGTTAGGAGCAGTGTTAGGAAAGGGCAAGGGAAAAGATGTGACTGGATGCCTAATGAGAAACCAGTAATATATATATGTTATATAGGTGTGTGTGTACATATATACACACACACACATATATCCAGACATCTCTCTCATAAAGTAACCATCAGTTCCTATGAAAACCTTATGTGGAAGCCAATTTCTCATAGTTAATAATTTAGGAGAAAATTATTATGCTTAAAGTGTCACTTACAACCCCTAACCAAATTACCAAACTATAACTGGAATAGTAAAATGCATATATGTAACTATCATGATGTAAAATGCTTAAACCACTGCTGCTTAATACTAATCAAACATGGCTGCTGACGAAAGTTGTGAATTATTATACAGCCCCTTTGTAACATGCTGCATGTTTTTAAAAACATTTCTGTGTTTCTGTTTGTTCCACTGCTGGTATTTGGAATGTAATTTAACAGTTCCCACACATGGTTTGGTATAAATTCTGTATTGCCTTTTAGGGATATAGACATTTTTTTTTCTATGTAAAAAAAAAATTCTTTTAGGGGACCCCTATTCGGGATGGTGTAGATGGAACTGATGACTACTAAGAAAATATTACCACAAGAGCACAGAGAAGGGCTGACATAAGTAAGGATGAATCTCCCCAAGCTTCCATGCTAAGGGAACAAACTATTCAAGTTTGGGAGAAATATATTTTGTCCCTGACAGTGGATGGATCGTGATGCATAAGGTAATGTGTTCCCAACCCCAATTACCACAACAACAAAAAAAGGAGTAAAACAATAATGCAGCAGTACTAGTTCTGAGGTCAGGGAGATAGGCCATTTGCTGTGTCTTTGCATAAATGACTAAAAATTTTTTGAAACATCATCCCATGATGACAAAGACCACTCATTAAGGCTGTGGCAAGGGAGATTAATTATTGGATGCCTATATGCCAGGTGCTTTACAAATGTTAATGTTGCCTGGGCAATAGCAATGACTCTATTAGTAAACCCACACACAGACAGGCACACACACTTTTCTGATTATAAGAGCATAGTTTCACCATTTTAAAAAAATAGATGTATGATAAAAAATAAAATGAGCCACCATTAAGATGTTATTCTTTTATATAGGTGTTTATAAGCATGTGTGTATTGATATTGTACTACATTCATGGCTTTGTAATTTCACTTTTGTTCCCAGTTGTAATGTGAATATTTTGAATAAATATTCTTTTTTTTTTTTTT